GGATATTAAAAACATTATTTTGGATATTCTATGACCGCGCGAAGAACATAAAAATTTCACTAGTTTACCGATAAAAGAATTCCCTTTTTTAAGCTTAAAGATATTTTAACAATGAATGGGGTCTCTATTTAACGATGCATTAATTCATATTAACATAGGTAGTGAAATCCAAAGTTGTGAAGGCTATCATATGATCAGGTTAGTTTTCTGAAAAAGATGGATAGAGCAGAGAGTATGGCTAGCCTGTAATGACTCAGGAGACACTATTAACCACAAAAATTCAAATAAAAAATAAAAAATAATAATTGGTGACATGAAGAGTTGATTTGTAAATACAAACTTGGCCAATAAAAAACGACGAGGAGGGATTAAATATATCTGGTCAAGAATATCATTTAATTGTGATTTTGAAATATTCTTCTTTTTGAACTCAAATGGAGTCTTTTCTGGAGATGAAAACACAGTATTAAATTTCTTGAGTAATGTAAGTAATAAGCTCTCCGTTTAAAAAAATAATAAAATGGAAAACTTAATTGTTTTAGTTAAATAACAAAATGTAAGGAAAAAAAAAAAAGAAGAACAAAAATTATGCGGGGGCGGTGTGGGTCTTTGTGGTGCCAGTCTTTGCGGTGCGGATAGAAAACAAAAAAATTACTATGCGGGGCGGGGTGAAGGCAAGTTGAAGCTTTTGCAGCTTTAGTCCAAACCCGCCCCGCCCTGCACCCACTCCGCCCCGCCCCACTGCCATCTCGAAAAGCTGCCATTATATATTTTTCTTCGAATCTGTTTTATTTGCTATCACTTTCACTTATATACGAGATATAAACCTTTTTTTAGATGTGTGAAACACTGATCCAGGATTCGCTATTTCCACATCCACATATTCATACTCCTTCACCAATTTTTTTACTCTGTATATGGCGAAATCAGAGGGTCCAATTTCTCGTCCTTATGGCACTTCGCAAGATCACCTGGAAGGCTCAAGACCATGGCCGAGTATCCTCCCTCGAGGGTCGTCGACACTCGACCACAGTAATGACCACGGAAATGGTGAAAACGGGGAAATTCCCTAGGCGCACGGCTAGGACTGACAGAGCCCAGTAGACTACTCTAAACCCGAATCAGGGTGTCATCTAGTTGTCACATCTCCATATCTTTGTAATTAATACATTTTGTACTATGTTGGGATTCCCCTATATAAACGGGATCCTTGTCATTTTGTAAGTGGCTGTTGCTTCAGTTACTCCACACGAACTATACAAGAACATTCTCTCCGCTCTCTAACATATTCTCTTGATATTATTGCTTCTATTTACTATCTTCATATTTGTTCACCATTTATTGCTTACCATTGGCCATAAAGAGTCTTCGTTGATTTTATTATAACTGTTAGTCATATCTCGACCACCTTCGATAGCTTGCAGCCGAGCTCCGGAATCGACCTCGAGGCCCCCGAATCGCAAGCTCGAGGCCCCGATTATTGACCTATCGGTTTGATTATCACCTTATCCTTAACTCTTATTTTGTTTCTAAGTCTCATACACATAGCATCAACTGCTTAACAACTAGCATAAAAATAGATCACGTATTTTTAGAGTCCCATAATGAAATTTAATTGTTATTACCATTTTCATGGTAAACAGTTTGACGCCCACCGTGGGGATAAAAATAATAGTGATTATTTTCTTTCTAGTTTCATTACACAAAGCAAGTTATCTTTCACACATTTTCTTGTCCAAGGTCTTCAATTTCAGGTTGAAATGGCTAGCTCAGTAAATAGAGTTCAAAACGACAATCTTGAAAACCACAGAGAAAACGGTGTGGCTGCTCCAGGTGGTGGTGTACCACCATGAAACCTTGAGAACGCACCAGGACCAATCCCAGCGGACGCGGTTTCACGCGACGCCCAACAGGTCGATATAAGCTCACATACCAACATGAGTGCGCACCAAAGGGATCGGCGAGAAGCTCAGAAAACCCCATTTAGGGAAGAACGAGAGGTTAGCCTTCATGTTATTTTTGAAATGTTGCAGGCACAACAGCTGGCTATTGCTCAGCTGCAAAGTCACCAGAAAACTCCTAGCACAGTAGCACCGGGGAAAACCCCCCGGCCGTACAGGTACCGGAGAGATCGAGCAATAATATGTCGATAGCCGATCATGTCATCGTGAAGATGCTCGAGGACCTCACCAGAAATAATCGGATAGGGCGAGAAAATGATAGAAGCCAACGATGAGAAGGTCGAGACTTACAACTCCAAGGTCGACCAAACTCACGGAGCGCCCCGCTCTAGTAAGAGGTGACGTCAAAAACGTAACACTACAGAAGACCGACTTACTACTAAGGAAGGACGGCCCCGGAAACACCCTATACCCTAAAGAAACGTTACACGAAGTAGTCCGACGCCTTACACGAAATAATATACGGTACCGTACCGACCGGAACCAACGGACACGTACCGTACCTACCTACCTACGTCGTCGACGTAAACGGTAACCGGAACGTACGTACCGTACCGAACGGGTAAACCGGAAACCGAACGGAAACACGGGTTACGTACCGGTTCCCNCAGAATGCCAGACCTTCAGAAATATATCGGTACCTCGGACCCAAACGAGCACGTTACCACTTACACCTGTGCAGTAAACGGCAATGACCTGAAGGACAACGAGATCGAGTTCGTCCCGCTGAAAAAATTCGGAGAAACACTTTCTAAAAGGGCAAAGATGTGGTACCATAAATTGGCCCCAAACTCTATAGACTCATTTGCCATGCTGGCGGATTCCTTAATAAAGGCACATGCCGGGGCCATCAAGGTGGCCACAAGGAAATCCGACGTCTTCAAAATCAAGCAAAGGGAGAACGAGATGCTGCGAGAATTTGTATCTCGCTTTCATATTGAACGAATGGAACTACCACCGGTCTTTATGTGATGACCCAAAAGGTTATCACTTGTTTTAGAAACAAATTTAGTGTTCCGAGGCCTAAAATCCTCCTTTTTACCTTACCTCGATTTGCATGTGCAGTCCGGACCTATATTCAGAAAGCCTTCTATGTGAAAATATGAGAAATAGAAATTTATAGAGTTAAAATTTGATTACGGACTTTAGTCAACATTTTGGGTAAATGGACCCAGACCCGTGATTTGACGGTCTCTCAGGGTCCGTAGGAAAATATAGGACTTGGGCGTATGCCCAGAATTGAATTTCGAGGTCCCAAGCCGGAGACATGAATTTTTAAAGAAAATTATTTTCTGGAAAATATATGAGTTTATGGAAATGAAATGTGTTTGAAATTTGATGGTATCGGGCCCGTATTTTGGTTCCGGAGCCCGGTACACGTCTTATATGTGATTTAAGTTGAGTCTGTGAAGTTTGGTAAGAAACGGACTTGAAATAACGTGAATCGGACCTTATTTGTGAAAATTTGGAAAATTTGATGTTCTTAAGCGATTTCATGGTTTTGATGCTAAATTTATAGTTGTTGATGCTATTTTGGTGATTTGAATGCACGAGCAATTCAGTATGATGCTTTTAGGTTGGCGTGCATGTTTGGTTTGGAGCCCCGAGGGCTCGGGTGAGTATTGGATAGGCCACGGAGTGGAATTTTAACATAGGAATTTGCTGGTATGTTGCAGGCTTGTAGGCTTCGCATTTGCGAAGCCTAGCTTGCAAATGCGAGCATCGCAAATGCGAACAAAGGCCTGGGCAGGTCTGATCGTAAATGCGATCGTTTGGTTCGCAAATGCGGAAGGCCCCAATCGCAAATGCGACGCTTCCCTCGCAAATGCGAACCCCTCAGGAAAAAGGGGGTGGTCGCAAATGCGACATTTTTCTACGTAAATGCGAAGATCTCAGAACTCTGAAGGGTTCGCAATTGCGAACTCTGGTCGCAATTGTGACATCAGAGACCTGTAAATCCTTAACTTAGACGCATTTCAACCATTTTTCACACCCTTTCAAAACCAAAACACTCTTGGGCAATTTTTCAAAGGCAATTTCTTCTCCAAATCGATTGTAAGTTATTTCTAACTCGTTTTCTTCAATCTTTAACATCTTTTCACATGATTTAAACTCAAAATCAAAGGTTTTCATGGGGAAATTGGGTGTTTTGGGTAGAACCTAGGTTTTTCAAATTTTGGAGATTTGGACCTCTATTTGAGGTCCGATTTTAAAACAATTGTATATTTGAGTTCGTGGGTGAATGGGTAATCGGGTTTCGGTTCGAACCTCGAGTTTTGACCATGTGGGGCCGGGGTCGATTTTTGAACTTTTGGGAAAAACTTTAGAAAACTTATTTTCATGCATTAGAATTGATTCATTTAGCATTTATTGATATAATTAAGTAACTTGTGGCTAGATACGAGCGAATTGGTGGTGGAATCAAGAGGTAAAGCGATAGTTGAGGCTTGAATTGTGTTTGAGGCATCGAGGTACGTGTTTGGTCTAACCTTAGCTTGAGGGATTAGGAGTTGTGTCCTATTTGCTATGTGTTATTTGTTGAGTACGACGTATAGGCATGGTGACGAGTATCTATACGTTGGTGTCAAGCATGCCCGTTGGTCTTATATTATAATTATTATGACTCCGTTTGTATTGTTCATGCCTTTTTGTGATGATTTCTATTGTTGGGCAAAGTTTGTGGAAGTAATTGGTGATATTTGAAAATTGAGGAGTGTTGGCTCAAGTTGTGAAGTGAATTGTGAAAGAATAATTGGCAATTGAACCTTATAGAGCATTAGCTCAAGCTGTGAATTGAGTGGTGAAGTTAATGTGAAAACAGAAGAAGAGGATTATGGTATTGTTCCCTTGCCAGGACGTTGTTGCTTTAAGTATTGTTCCCTTGCCGGGATGTTGTTGCTTTTAATATTGTACCCTTACCGGGATGTTGTTGATATTGATGTTGTTCCCTTGCTGGGATTTTATTGTGATTCTATTTGATTCCATGCCCTTATTGTTTGTGCTTGTTGTTTGGGGTGAGGAAGAGTGTTAAAGCACGAAGAGTGATGCCGTGTATGATTTTGTGAGGAAGAGTGTAAAAGCACGAAGGGTGATGCCGTGCCGCACGATGTACCATACCGTGGCTTTATATGAGCTATTATTTGAGGTAAAAGCACGAAGGGTGATGCCGTGCCAATTATACTGATTTTCATGGTGAGGACGAGAGTAAAAGTACGAAGGGTGATGCCGTGCACTTGTCCTTGATTTCCTTGATTTTACTGGTAATTGAGTTATGGTGTTCTTTACGCCTATTTACTGATTTCCTGTTGTTACTTGATTTTATTGTGATGTTATTGATTCCCTCGCCCCAAATTGCTTTGTGATTGTTGCTTGGGTGAGGAAGAGTGTAAAGCATGAAGGGTGATATCGTGCATTGTTTTGGTGAGCGAGTGTTAAAGCACGAAGGGTGATGCCGTGCATTGTTTTGGTGAGAGAGTGTTAAAGTACGAAGGGTGATGCCGTGCACTTGTCTTTGATTTCCTGATTTGTATTGATAACTGAGTTATGGTCTCTCTACATTTAATTGCGGGTTTTCCATTGATACTTGTTGTACCCCGTAGCATGATCCCCCTTCCTATCTTCAATTGAACGGTGATTATCCTTATATTTACTCGTTGTTCTGCTGTTATTATTCGATGTCCCCGTAGCATGTTTCCCCCTCCCATCCTTAGCTGTACATTTCTGCTGGTATTGTTCCGCTGTATATGATTTAACTGCACAGGTTTACTTTGGTAGTCTGGTCCTAGCCTCGTCACTACTTCGCCGAGGTTAGGCTAGGCACTTACCAGCACATGGGGTTGTGCTGATACTACACTCTGCACTTTTTTGTGCAGATCCACCGGTGTATATTTCGGACCACAGTGATATTTCTGCTCCTTGTTCATCAGGTGGCCCGAGGTAGTCCTACAGGCGCCTGCAGGCCTTGGCGTCTCCCTCTATCTATTATTGATGTTTCTTTTATGTAATCCCAGAGAAAGTATTTTGTTATTTCTTTCAGACCTTTATTTGTAGTACTCTTTGACAGTCTGTGAAGACGTGACACCAATCTTAGGTAGATTTGTTATGGAATGGTATTAGCAGTATTATTAACCTTGAAATTGAATCTTCCGCTTGTTAAATTTTTTTGGTTATTAACTGTTGGCCTATAACTGTTAACGAATTTAAAAAAGTGGAAACAAGAAAAACAATTCAGTTGATTGGCCTGGCTAGCTTTCACTAGTAGGCTCCATCACGACTCCCGAGGGTGGGAAATTCGGGTCGTGACACTTTGACGACTGGGCGATGCAGGCCTTCACTCAAGGTCTGAATGAGCGAAGCTCGGCGGCTTCGAAGCAGCTGAAAGAGAATCTGGTCGAATATCCCGCCATGACCTAGTCGGACGTCCACAACCGATACCAGTCAAAAATCAGGGTCGAAGATGACCAGCTAGGATCCCTATCGGGCTCAGTATAACCAAGCAGGCTCTTGGCGAAGGAGCCAAAGCCAAACAAGGAAAGATACCAGCCATACACCAAAGATAGAAGGAACGCCCCAAGGCGCAACCCACCCCGTAACGATCGAAGGATAGATCGAGGATAGAATCCTCGGGGACTGATCAACAGAGCCGGATTCAATAGGAACGCGGGGCCAATGGAGGCACCTCGCTTGACAAAATACAAGTTCAACGTCGTTGTGTTAGACATCGTGTTCGCCATCAGCAAAATTAGATACGCTAGATGGCCTAGGACTGTACAATCGGATCCTTCGCAAAGGAACAATAACTTAATGTGCGAATTCCACAAAACGCATGGACACAGGACCGAGGATTACCGGAAACTCCGGGAGGAAGTGGCTCGATTACTCGACAATGGTCA